GTGTGTGTGTGTGTGTGTGTGTGTGTGTGTGTGTGTGTGCGTGCGGTCTTTGCTGTCAGCTGCTTGTCTCACTGTGCCTGAGGTCTTGCCACAGGGAAGGCTTCCGCTTGTCATCTTCACTCAAGGTAAGGGCAAAAAGCCCCTTAATGAGGTTCATCTCCCATCCTCCCTTAAATAATTTTCCTTTTGTTTTACCACCAGCACCATCGGGAAATTTAAAGTAAAATAATTACTCTGACTTGAAAGCAGTTGTCTAATCCTGTTGATTTTAAGAGCATATAATTTAGACTAGAATCAGTTTTTTTAAACACCCCTATGACACTGTATCTTTCTCAGACAAAAGAATGCACTCATAAAAAGACGAAACACAGTCAAAGGCTGAACTATGCTTGACGTCATAATTCCTCACCATTCGCTGCTACCCATTTTAAGAATTTTAGATTTTCAAGAGCTGCTTTCATAAATTGTAAAATGAAAACAGTCTTCTTTAAACACTCTCTTGGCCTTGTTCAGGCTGAGTTATCATTGTGCCTGCAGCTCAGTGTTACCGACACAGAGGGGGAGCAAATATCAAGCTTTAGAGAAAATCAAAAGGGCAGATGGATTTTCTCACAATCTGAATTTTGCTGAACTGAATAACAGATAACGATTCTTCGAAGCTCAGAATTGATTTTCAACATATCTGGCTAATAAAATGAATGCCTTTGGCCACTGCAGCACTGAAATGACAGGGATATTAAGTTTTTGGTCTGAGACTTATAAACTATAATCTAGTATAATCTGTAAAAGAGGAAAAATCTGTTTAAGAAAAGAACAAAACAGAAATATTCTGGCCGCTGATAAAGTCATAAAAATACAGAAAAATAATTGTTTATAGCTTTAAATGTCATATTTTGTGTTAAATAAAACTAATTTACAAGGGTGGAAGCAATGAAATGAGATCTTTCTTTTGGCACGATACAGCATAGACTACAGAGCACTGTGAAAATGTCTCAAGTTGGCTTGGAAAATGAGTTAGTACATTTTTAACAAGCTTGAAAATCAGTATTTATTCTACAACACTTCCCTGGGTAAGTGTTCTTGTAATTTCTTGAAGTAGTCTTCAGGAATAGTTCTCCAGGCTTCTTGAAGAACATTCAAAGCTCTTCCTTGGATGTTGGCTGCCTTGTTCTGTTTTGGTTCAATAATACTGAGGTCCAGGCTCTTAGGAGGCCAATCTGATCATCCTAAATGATGTGTTTTTCTGCCCAAGCATATTTTTCCTGCACTAGCAGATGCTTTCCAGATAGTATTGCATGTTGGATACAAATCCAACAATACGTTCCATCAATTTTGACAAGATCTCCAACACTGAAGCCTGAAGTGCAGCCTCAAACCGTGACAGAGCCTCCACTGTGTTTACAGATGGCTCACTGTAACACTCACAGTTTTACCTCTCTGAGCTCCTCTGCATATATTAATGACACTGAACAAAAGTTTAAAATTAACAAAGTGCATAAAGACACAATTTAAAATAGGTTCAGTTGTCTGTTTTGTGTAAACACAACACTGGTTCATCACTTGAGTAAGGTGCCTTTTTTATTTGAATGATCGATACTGTAGCTCAGTATTAAGTGTGCAAAACAACAACAACAAAAAGCAGAAAAATGATAAAAGCATCCATCGACTGCTTATTTCTGCTCTAAAGTGTAATCTTATCATGGCAGGTCTGGGAGGACTGACTTCCTTTAAGGAGCTGCAGTTAATGACACTTCTCCATTGTCCTAATTTTAAAACCCTGGAAGTTGCCCCTTGGTTTTTGCTGTGAACCGCAGCTGAAAGAGACTTGACTCCAAACTAAATGACAGTTTGGGTTTCACTGACGACAACTTTCCATTGTTAGCTTTCAGATGCACCACAGTGGGGCTGTGAGACGGCGAGGATGTAAAATTCATTTTAACAGAACTCCACAGAGAGCTACAGCTGTGCAGCATGCTTGAGCAGCAGAGGGGTCTTTGGGAAACTCAGGAACATGATACCAAAAAACAAACATTACAGAAATGCACCGGATGTGTCTGCTGTTATTTATGTGCAGCTAATTTGCAACAACAATAATGTTTTCATGGAGGCATATGGGGCCAACCAAATTATGTTTCTGTTAGGATAAAGACAAACAATGTTAATATTGAAGTATTCAACATATTTTTAAGCTTGTGTTGAGACACTGTCAGCACACATCAGACTGCACTCTAGTTTTATGCAGAAAGAGACTGAACAATACAACAATACCACCCTGACCGAGTTGGTATTGTTGCCCAAAATTAATCACAGACAGGAGTGTGCTCGCTCTTCACACTTTGGACTCACATGTCTATCCTTTGCATTCATATGACTGCTGCTGTGGCCAGGACGTATAAATGTAGAACATCGTTCGCTCTGAAAAAATGTCTCTAAACAATCCAAGCAGCAATTGCATTTCTCAGCACAACATAACCATGAAAACGAAAGATTCGTAATTGTCTTTTGAGGCAGGGTTGACATGAAAGAGATGAGCTCAGAGGAAGAAATATCAGAAGTGACGAGAGCTTGACAGGAAAGCCTTGCTTTGAAAGTACAAGAAGACAAATAAAGCTCTTTCTCTTTATTTTACAATGCGAAAAGGTGAGAAAACCGCGAAAGCTCATTTGTACCTATGAGGAACAGCATGCCCCGTTGTTTCATAAGCATACGCAAACGATGGGTAAACATGAAAAGTAATCACATACTTAGGATTTCTAGTATTTTGAAAAGCAAATGAGATAAAGCAGCCAATACAGAACATAACAAATTAAAATTAAGGCATTAGGAGTGATCCAAAATCTTTTTGTCACATGAAAAACAGAAATGTCAGACAACCAAATGTCTTTTTTTCGTTTCCAGATAACCAGGGATGGAAAACCTCCAATAATGAGAACACTGTTTATAATTTACTCAGGTGATAAGTGTGAACACACCACTGACATCTAGACATTTGCAATCTGACAGGCCTTATCAACATTAGCAGGAAGTAAAAGTGTTTCCAGCAAGTAAACGATTGACCCACACATGCTGGAGACTGAAGTCACTTGTACCAAAGGTGCATCTGTGTAATCTAATTTATTGTTTGTAAAATCTTACATCTCAGTAAGAGTCACTTAATTAAAACAAATAACAAAGTGACCAAAATTTCAAAATGATGAAATTTCTTATCAGCTTTATAAATATAAATTTATTTTTCTGTTCATAAAGCTACATTCAGCTGATCCCTTATTCACGAAGGGTCACCACGTGTTTCGTTTAGCAGATATTTAGCGTGATATCGTTTCTGTGATATCATATAATTTTTTTTTGTCTCCGCCCAGGATCAAACCCACTTCACTATATTGCTAATAACAAGTAAAACGTCAGGTTGTTTTATATCTGGCCCTTGTTTCCAGACAAGTTTTGAGGGTCTTTCATATCTGATCTTAATTCAACCCTGAACCATGAGCCAGTCACAGAAAAAATACACAAGTGTTTCCCTTGCTTCTCAAGAACCTCTAATTCCCTGCTGATATTAGTGAAAGGATTTCAGCCACAGCTGTGATGTTTTGTTGACCATGTTTCTGCACACAAAGCTGCACAGCAAATGCAGGCTTTGATTTGGTTTTGCTCTGGTCTGAATATGTCCACTCCTGTTACCTTTTGTTTCGTCCTCTGTGCGTACCTTCCTGCTCTCTGGCCCAGTGAACAGCATAAATGATTGAAGGACTCGTGTATTTAGTTGTCAGCTGAGAAAGACATTTGGTACTGAACTCAGAGTTTCAGCATGGGAACTGACAGCATCGAGGTGCTTCCAACAGTGTTAGGGCACAGAAACAGCACGTAGCTGGTACACACAAGTAATAAATTCAGTGCCAATACTCTCCAGCTGGAGAAAAAGAAGACTACCTATGATTTGTAAGGCTGTTTTTTATTCAGCCTTTAGTGTAACATATCTGTACTGCAACATAAGCACAACCTCTCTACCCTACACATGTCATATACTACAGACTTTTAGCACTTCAAACCCTTTGAGTCAAGTATATTATTGGATTACATGCTTCAATTTATATTAAAAGCTATGTTTGTAAGAACTGTTTTAATGCCACTGTTTGAATGGCAGCAAAGATATAGAGTATACCCACTTATGTCTTATGGTGGCTTTCAGAGGTTAAAATCAAACATCCCTAAATTTGCAGATGATAAATATATATTAAAAGGTTTGCTACTGACTGCAGTAACCGATTCAAAGCTTTAAATGATGTGATTTTGAGTGCTGCAAAAGTGCTATTGTGTCTGGTATGAGCGACCTAAAATTATCTGACATTTGTTAAAAAATAAAAATTTCTATTGAAATCATGAGAAATAACAAATTTAATGCGATTTTTAACAACTGCATTTAGAAAATCTTTTTTAGAAATAGAGAATTAGAAAAAAAAAAACATTGGTTCAATTCGGCCATCAAAAAGAGAAATACCATGACTGTTAACTGTTGGACATAATGTGCTTATTATGTGATATAAGGTTTTCAATGCTTACCTATTTTTTTCCCATTAGGAGAGTTTCCCAGTCCAGGACATGGTCTCCTGAGTGGTCCCGCCACCACTGCATCACAAGCCTTAAAACCAGTCTAACCTGGGACATGACTGCTCTGCTTCCCAACGTCAGTGTTCCTGGGAGTACGGCAGCTTTGCTGGTGACCACTGACTGTCCGTTTAACCTGACTGCAGCTGCTCAGGCAGGACTGGGGTCAGGCCATTCACTGGCCCCACTATGTACCGTGTGTTGCTGTGGGGTTCTCAATCGCACCTTGGCAGTGGCATTCATGGTCAGCCTAGCATTTGCCATCGTGGTTGGGAACGTGGTCACACTTACAGTGTTTGTGCAGACCAGACAGTCGAGAACACCACAGGGATACCTGAAAGGTAAATGTTGTGAACTGTGTGTTGAGACAACTTTTGTTGTAATTTTGTGCTATATAAATAACATTTATTGAATTGAATTAAAAAATAATAATTGAACTGCTTTATCACCACATCTTAACATGTACATCTAGAGTGTAAATCAAGTTTCATGGATTGATTCCAGTAGAGCCCGACCAACATCAGATATTTACAGATATTTGATATGAAATCTGATATCAGCTGATATATTTTTTTCTTTCAGGCACAGGAAACATAAACAGATTTACCTGACATTGGTCATGTGCAGTTATTTATAACTCCTTACTAATATAATATAACGATTCTGTTCATATTGCTACATTAAGTCATAGATCACTGGTTTACATTTCTTGTATCTGCTGGCTGTTGTGTTTGTGTGGTTCCAAACACATGCAGGAATGTTGTAGAGTGCCCTCTGGTGGACAAACTATGCAACCTTAATACTAACAACAAGATTATAAGAGTTTGTTCCACCTCTTCTTTCCTTTTGTATTTTAATTTATCCTCTGGTATATCACATAGATATTACTGGGCAATATATCGTCCCTCAACATTATATTGGTAGGGCTCTAATTTCAAGAAACGCAAAAAACAATTCCTTAGTAAAATTTAATTTCCTGTTTGTAAAATGCAGTAATATTAAAGAAGACTTTTTTTTTCAGTCTAGAGAGATATAAGAGAATCTTTAATTTTAAGCAATAAATATATTGTAAATTGTATTATATGTATAATGTATAAGTATTGCATTCCTTTCACAAGGTGGCAGTGACCAGAAGGGATTATACAGTATTATAAATCAACTTCAAATTCAAATTCAAATTTTATTTGTCACGTACACAGTCATACACAGTACGATATGCAGTGAAATGCTTAGACAACTGCTCGTGACCTAAAAAAAAAAAGGCTATGAATAAGATAGGAAATAAATATGAAAAATTAAAAAGGGTAAATTTAACTAGGAAGGAATAAAATATAAAAAAAAAATTAAGGTTAAAAATAAAATAACTGTACAACAAAATACACAATACACAGTATAGAACTATATAAGAATGTATGAAGAAATATAAATAAATAAATAAATAAATATATACACAATAACAGCAGCTGTACAAGTATTAACTGGAAATGAAGAATATAGTGACCAGTGTTGTGCAATCCACATTATGTCTTATATTAAATAGTTTCATTCAGCACAACTGATTCATTTAAATTTATGGAAAACCTAAATCAGAAAGGTTGTTTTTTAAATTCTGCAAATAATGGCTTAAAAATAAAGCAGTTCTTGTGATTAATGGTAAAATGCTAAGTAAATGATAATAAGGAAAACTAAATACAGCTATCCAACATGACATCTTCCTCTTCTTTCTTCTCTGTGACAGTGTCTCTGGCCATAGCAGATATGATGGTCGGTGTCCTCGTGGTTCCTTTTTCCATCTACACTGAAATCTCTCTGATGGTAACCACCACGCCCCCTGTTTGGTATCAGGGTACTTCTACTTCCCCTGCCAACTCCTCTTCTCGTGGTGGACTAGTAAGCCCATGGCAGCCCTGCATGCTGATTGGTCCAGTGTTTGCTGGATGCACATTTGTTTCCATCAGCACCATTTTCCTAATGACTTTGGAGCGCAGTGTGGCCATCCTGTGGCCACTCCAAAAGGACGCCTTGGTGACCCGAAGACGAACTCTGTTCCTCATCCTGTTCTCCTGGGCTTCCAGCTTTCTGCTGGCTTTAGCGCCTCTCATCTTCAGCAGAAACTTCACTTTGGAGTACAATGAGTGCAGTCGCATGTGTAACTACACCCCACTCATGCTTGGAGGCCATCTCCCGCCTGATGCCAACATCTTGTTGTTATTCCCAGCGTTCGATTTCACACTGCTCGGTGGCACATTGGCTGTTAATATCGTGTCTTTCACTAGCATTCGGCGGTACTCCCAAAAACGCAAACTACTCTCAGAGGGGAGTCTGAGCGATGGAGGAGGAGGAGGTGGAGGATGCCCTCACAGGCCCTCTTTTTCAGACATCAAAGCAGCCAAAACAATTGGCATATTAACATTTGCCTTTACAGCATCCTTCACGCCCATTGCAGTGTTTGTGCTGGGGAACGTGGTGGGATACACCTGGTGTAATTTCTCCTTTTTTGCCTTCTGGATTCTGACAGGAAACAGTTGCTGTAATGTTATTATTTACAGCGTCAGGGACCACCGCTTCAGGAAGGGTGTAACCCTGCTGTTTCAACGAGATCAATCCCCCCCGCATGGCGAGAAGAACTAAGAGACGCGTAAATTTGTGTTGTGGCTGTGACCCAAAGTATGACTTGGAATAGTTTAAAAAGTAGAGAAAGGTGAAGAATGGGTTTATTCGCTTACTCTGTGAAAAGATTGTCATCCCTTTCCTGTTTTCAAAGAGAGGAAAAAAGGAACCCTGCCTATTTCAACTTGTGGTCCTTAATATGCCATCAATAATCTCTCTTGCTAAAGCATTATGTTAAAAACATATGAATTTCATCCATTAAAAAAGCAGCAACGTTATTCCATATTATGACCTATAAAGACTGTGATTATTTTACATGTGCAATGCACTCTGGACTGATGATGGAAACGAGTTTGACTCATTACATCAGTCTCACAACCAAGTACATAATGTATGAACGCTACGAAATGTCTAAAGGAAACAACAAAAGAGATATTAATCTACACAGTTTTCTCATCCATAGCAAGAGAAAGGGAAATGATCGGGCACATGCGGATGAAGACAACTTCCAAAAGACCCCGAGCTGTGTTCTTGACACTTCTGTACTAACACATTTGATTAATTTAGAGCTCACAAACACTTTTTGTTGTTGTTGGTGAGAAGCAGCAGCTAAGACCAAAAGCTGCACCTATAATTTGTCTCCCCAAAAATGCAGACAGCAAGTGAAAGTGAAAATAACTTTAAGATAGCCTGGGAACAGAAAGTATTAAATGTAAAGATGCTCTGCAGGCAGCAAAATATAATTTATGGCAGGTGCTGCCTTTGAAAGTGCACCAAAGTGTGTTTAAGAGTCTATAAACATAAAGTGTCTTGAGGAGAGATTGACTACATTGAAAAGGTGGATGGTAGGCTGAAATTACAGGTAGGGAAAGACATTTTATCATAACCTGATACACTTCCCTTTCACACCTCTCAAGTGGCTGCACAGAAAAGGATTTTGTCCCATGCTTGCTTCTTCAGCTCTGTGATCGTCTTCATTGTTGGGGTTTTTTAGTGAAGAGGAAACAGAAAGCAGGAAGAGAGAGTGGTGGAAGACACTCCACAAAGGGCCACGGTTCAAAGTCAAATCCGGTTAAATGCATTTAGCCTTTCAGCACATGGTTGCCTGCTCAACCTGGGAGAAGGTCATCCTCGTTTTTTGTTTTTTAATTCTGAGTTATGCCAACAGTCTTTTCATGTTCAGTTATGTCATTCTCAGATTTTAGTTGAATGGGATGTGCTATCTACCCCAGCGGTCCCCAACCCCCGGGCCTTGGACCAGTACCGGTCCGTGAGTTGTTTGGTACCGGGCCGCGAGAGTTGAGGCTCAGGTGTGAAATGTATAGTTTTCGGGGTTTTTATCGGTTTTCAGCGTTATTTTGTTATCGTTTTTATCGTTAACTCGGTTTTCCTTGGTCTTTTCACGTGTGTTATGAATTATGATTTTTTTCGGTACCGGTACTAGTTTTATTTTGTTGTATTTATCTGCGACACCTTAAAGGCCGGTCCATGAAAATATTGTCGGGCATAAACCGGTCCGTGGCGCAAAAAAGGTTGGGGACCGCTGATCTAGCCTACCTGCACCATAAATAACAATGGTGGCCTATTATTTTTTTTATTAAAAAAAAACCTAAATATCTACATTACATCATGTTTAAGTTGTTGTGACATGACATAATAAGTCATGTCTTTGTAGTCGCTTTTTTTTACAGGTAGTAAACATGTTTATTTCTGCTAAGATGTTGACCATTTTACCACTGACTTGCTTTTTAAATCAGCCTCAAGTGGTCATTTGAAGAACTGCAGTTTTTGGCATTAAGCATTACCTTCATTATTAAGCCCCATATGTTGTCTCTTGGACTGGGTTTATACAAACATGATCAAATCTGCTTATAAACACATAGAAAGTTTCCTTACCTTTCTTTTTTTTTATCAATGGAGTTTTTTTTTTTAATGTGAGTTTCTGTGGTTCATGTCCAGGGTAAAAAATAAATCAACAAATAAACAGTTGCCAAGTAACCACTCTAGACGATTATTGGTGTCAACAAAGAAACAATTTAGTAACACCTTTGTGAGGTTTAGAGGTGCTGGTAGGCGGAGAGTTTTGTTTTTGTATCCAGTTTTTAGACCAAGCCATTTCCTGGTTTAAGCTAATTTGAGGTGTTTTCATCACCTAACACGTTTCCAAAAAAGCCGAGGCTCAAGAGTTCCCATAAGTCAAATGTAAATGCCATTCAAATGGAAACACATAAAACTTTAAATGAAAAAGTTCTGAAAAAGTTAAAAAACGCTTTCAGGTTTGTCCACATATTATGGATCGTGACTGAAAAGGTCATTAACTGCACAACAGCAAGTCCTTGCAGTGAGTCTACTGCCACAACAAATCCATATCCTCTCCCCGGGTGTCCTTGTTTCCTCTCTCCAAATCTAAACCTTGCTTTCAAAGGGCTTTAATGAGCCTTTCACAAATTTCAGAGAAAAAAGTATGTCAAGGAGCCACAACAGCCACAACTGCATAATGAGTAGTTTATTTGTAATGTTTTTTTTAATCTTTTGTTTGTTTTTGTGTTGTTTTTTAATGACAGCAGTGTTTTTGTCACCTGTTAATTTATAATGGGGTTTGTTTGTAATTAGAAATCATGTTGCAGCCTCCTCATAGGAAACAGTTAAGGTTACTTTTAAAATCCATTAATTCAGTTAATTTTGATAACAGTCTGCCTCAAGTATCAGAAATGCACTTTATCAGTTGCTATATGAGCCATTTCCATTGTGCCAGGTGTCGGACACAAATATTATTTTGGACAGATTTTTATTTTTAGCTTTGTATTTTGTCTGCATATTAAAGAATGATCTGTGTATTTATTAAATCAGTACTGACTAAATGAATGGGATTCCAGCCACAGAGATGTAGAATAAAAACATTATGATATATAGTGGACCCTCATGCTGTGTCGGTCTATCTTTTCAGGGTATAACATAAATGTATAACATGAAATAATGTGTTTCTTGTGTACTTATTTTAATTCTGTATTGTACGAATTAATTATATTTATAAATAATGAGAATTTTGAAGTATAAAATGTCATTAATTTATTTCTTGACAGAATAGCTTAATTTGAGCTATTCTGTCACAACTGAGATCCCTTTGAATGCAGGGAGGAGGTTATTCTTGCCATTGCTGCTGTAAGTAGTTTACAGATTATTCTGTGAATCCATAAACAGCAACCCAACAGTTCGATTGACATAAGAGTGAAAACATTTTTTGTAACTTACCATGAAGTGATTGTTTGACATTTGGAAAGTACATTTATTAGCTCACTGGTCACCTTTACCACAGCAACGAAATTTAAAAGAAATTGGTATTCCACACACAAGTACCTTGGTTTTTAATGTCAAATATGCTGACATATGGTACATGGAAGTTTGTTTTTGGCAATATTAAGAAACATTTGATTGATGCTAATGTGTTTTAAATGGACACTTGCATTGTAATGGCTGATAGGCAAGTTAGATTTTAGAGGTAAGTCTGAAAACAAGTTCTAAAATACACTACATAATAAATCAGCCTCCCAAATCAGGGAACTGGAGGAATCTGTGGAGCTTGTGATTGCATATTTGGATGAAAGATTTAAAACTGCAAAAAAGACAAAAAGATAAGCCAATCATGTAGCTGGGAAAATATTAGAAAACGACGATGTAAGATAAAATAAGAATTTACCTGCCAGCAAATATAAAGCTCACAATTAATATGTTTTATTTATTTAACCCTTTCACGCATAGTGGTCACTACAGTGAGCAGCTGTTTTCTTGTATTTGTGTCAGTGTTGATGGTATACTTGCACATAGACCACTACGTTGGACACTGATGTGTCACTCCATACCCTGCCACCCTCTGGTCGTTTAATGTTACTATAGATGTATGCCGTGTTTCATTGTAAATATTGTTATTTAACCCTGTCATGGATGAATTATGACAACCTCAATCAGGATTTTTTCTTACGTATTTTTATTCATCTTTTCATGCCTAAAGATGAATAAAAACACTTAAAAAAAGTCCTGATTGAGGTTGTCATAATTCATGCATGACAGGGTTAAACCATAAAAAATGAAATCAAAGACACTTTATTTTTATTTATTTACACCAAACACCATTAAACACCATAGACATGCAATTGTATATATTATAAAACATTTACAGTCGCACAAATTTTAAAAACTTGCCCAAAATTTGTACATAATTTTTAGGATGAGCTTTATTGGGGCTGGAAGGATTGTGTTACCTTTGGACAGACCAGTTTAGCAGTTTGCCCCGCCGTCCAGTGTTTGTGTTAAACCAAATTGCGGGATTTTTACCTTTCTCAGTTCTCAGTAAGAAGATTAATAATGTACTTAGCAAACTGTCAAACTATCCATCCATCCACCCATCCATCCATCCCTCTCGCCCTAAGACAGCTGGGATAGGCTCCAGCACCCCCTGCAACCCTGAAAAGGATAAGCGGAATGGATGGATGGATGCAAACTGTCAAACTACTCATTTAAATCATAGATCTCACAGAATGGATGAATGAATGAAAAACATTTTCCAGGAAAAACTATCATTATCTTCTAGTTTAAAAATTTGTCACAGCAAGGTTTCAAATCAAAAGCATTTCAATCATCTTGGGCTCAGTGTAAAGGTCAAATTGTCTACTACTACTGCACTACTGAGACTATAAACTTGTATGAGTAGGGCATGATTCCTCAGTGGTGACTGCGTCAGATTTGGTAACAATAAATGTGTTTGTGAACACATCATTTATGACTTTAATAGGTTTCAGTGTGACAGTAATGCACTCAGTTTACTGCGATGATATTCACAACCTCCACAGTTACTCTTGAGTATTGAAGGGCTGTCACATTATGTAATGTGAAGAAGAAGGAGTGGCAGTGACGCTATGGGACACCTGGATACTTAGCATGGAGGACTCTTTGACTGTGTACAGGAGAGAAAGCAGAATTAGGTAGACCGAGTTCGCATCTTTACATCTAGAGAAGAGGATCCTAAAACCGAGTGACCTAAATTGTATTTTGCGTGTGTGTGCATGTGGGTAGATGGGGACAGAGTTTATATTTTACATTTACACGGTTAAAGCGCAATCTTGTAATGTGGGAAGACATTTGGGTGGAGACGGAAGTGTAGAGCAGTAGACTTCTATCAGTAGTGACATGATAGAAGTCTACTCCACCACCAGTCCCACCACAAGATAAATGAGCTGACATTTGGTTGCTCATGTAATTGAGTTCAACGATGAAAAACACAAAGCTGTCCGACAGATATCGGGAGAATGGGTAGAAACAATAAAGAGAGAGAACAAGTCATGTACTCTGGAATGGCATCTAGCAGCCAGTAGCCTCATATGTCATTTATAATCAGTACAATAAATGAATCTGATCTGTATTTCTGCTGTGGACTCATTAATCAGTACATTGTACCCTCACAACAGTCCTGTGAATCATGTTCATTGTGCAGAGCACTGACTCACTGCATCATTCATGCATGCTTTCATACTTGCTGCAGGTGGATTAATGGTGGGTTTGTTATAGTTGTTGTTGTTGTTTTTTATATTTTGTGAGTCACACTTTTGCAAAGCACGAGGCATGTTTAAAGCTGCATCTGGCATTTTGAGACATATTTGAACTATTGCAGCTTGTCAAGTCAATCTTACAGACATAAATCAGTGCCGTGGAGTATTTGCCTTCATGATTTTTTTTTTTTTTTTTTTTTTTGCATACTTCAGCTCATGAAACAAATGTTAATATTAGACAAAGATTACTTGAGTAAAAACAAAATTCCCTTTTTAAATGATGATTTCATTTAGTGAGATGAAAAAGCTATCCAAAGTAACTGCTCTCCCAACCTTGGCAGCAATGAGCCTTTCACATCGCTGTGGAGGAATTTTGGCCCATTCTTGATGGTAAATGGTAAATGGCCTGTATTTATATAGCGCTTTACTAGTCCCTAAGGACCCCAAAGACCTTTACATATCCAGTCATCCACACATTCACACACATTCTTCTGTGCAGCACTGTTTTAATTCAGCCACACTGGAGGATTTTTTCACGTTTAACTCATTCCCAGACAGAGTTTCTGGTAGACAGCAGAATTCATGATCCCATCAGTTACGGCAAGTCCACATCTTGAAGCGGCAAAGCAGCTGCAGACCATCATACTACCACCACTATGATTGACACATGACTGTTTGTGTGATGTTATTTTTATGAAATGCTGTTT